CCCGAGCTTCTCCAACGCATCATGAGTTCATTGACTCAAGGCATCAACAGTGACGACGGACTGGCGTGTGCCATCACACTGGGGACTTCGCGGCAACGTAACCTATCGAAATCCACTGCGGCCCGTGAAACTGGTGATGCAGTTATTCACGAGACAAATACAGTACAGTGGTGTGTAAACAAACGTTACAAACAACGTGGGACGGGAGAATTTTCACGAACATTATGAACGTGAGTTGTATAACGAGTGTCTATCGCCACCTCGTGGTCCCGACAAGCAATGTGACAAATTACAGTAATACGTCGAAATGCGTATATTCGATTACGAACTTTGGATCTCTATTTTAACATTATCTTCCACAGAAAGCGAAAACTAAATAATAAATAAAGTGGCACGAAAAACTAAATAATGAATTGACACTATATCAATTACGAAATATGTTTCTTCGCTATGTTTTATTTGTCAGTTTTAATTTTATTTTAATACAGTACAATAAAATATAATTTTCAGTATACATTATTTTTGCTCAGAATTTGAATGCTAATTTATGAAGTGTTTATAGTATGAAATTATAAGTAACGTAGGCTGGGAACGCATCCCTCAATACTAATATACGTTATTAAATATACAAAGTTTCAATATACGAAGCTCCAGGAACGCATCTATTTCGTATATCGAGGTATTACTCTACTTGGTGATACTGCTGCATTTGCAGTGGTGCACAAGCACAAATAAAACAACACACTCCTCGATAATTACACCGCGTTGCCTGAAAATGCTAAAATATATATAATAGAAACAAAACTATAATAGACAATGTTAGTCGAGGCCTCGAGGCGGCAATAAACGCTCGTTCTACAACTCACGTGACTAATGTTCGCGCAAATGTCCCTGTCCCATAATTATGTTGTTTTCTTTGCACACGACTGTGCTGTCTCGTGACAAACAACGGCGGACGCATCGCCAGCGTTATACGCAGCAGTGGATTTTGCCGTTTAATTATGTTGAATACCGTGCAGGAGAATTTTTTTTTATATAAGCCGGGGAACATTAGCACCACGTTGCGGCTGCAAAGCGCACGGATACGCACCGTGCAACGAATGCCTTACTAACACCGCATTGCATAGAGGCGTGGACACGTGATCTCGCTGTCTTGTGACCTTAGTAATCTAGGGGGGCAGGGGACAGAGCGCAAGGGTCGCGGGGCCTCGGGGGGGGCATGCGTTGGGACATGTGATCTTGATTGGGAGGGGGGGCACCCATAGCAAAACAATTGAGGAACACCGATTTTAATGAACACATTTGCCACACCAAGTGATGTTGTTTCTAGCCAGCAGACGGCGCTAATAACCCACCGCCGCTGAGGGCCGAATGAAACGTTTCAGCACCACGCCCGATTGGATAGCGCCTGAGTGAGTGGACAGCGCTTGGCAGAGGCTACTGTATATATCCATTGCTCCCTAAATCATTTTACCCCGTGGCACGCCGCGGGAAGTTGGAGCAGAGTCCAGGATTTATTGTATGGACAAAGAAAAAGGAACGTTAACGGGAAGAGAGAAGAGAGAGAATGGGAAATAGGAGGAAAAGTATGGGAAATGGTACGGAAAATGGGAGCAAAGGGTCAGGGAAGATGATAGGGCCTCGACGTTGCTACAAGGAGGAGGAGGAGCAGCGGCTGATTTTATAGGGGGCGGCAGTGAGAGGGGAGGTATTCATAGTGGGCGTGGTCACACATAAGTCACGTAATTTACAGGAGGCTTGAGCTGCTTTATTCACAGTATATAGATGAGCCCAGAGCAGACATTCCACTTATACTGACCACCTGAGGGAGCCATCACTTGAGTGATTCTAATATCTGTGTGTGGCCAACGACAGTGAATGGTGTGATAACCACTTGAAATTAGTGGGTGAACAGATAGTTCACTCGTATTGGCCAGGTAAATACATCGGTGCGACAACAGTTGTTGCTAGCCTAGCTGGCACTGGTATCTTTTCTCGTCCATGGAATTCATGCCAAGCGCAGCTGTGGTGCAGAATAATTAATTAGACCTCTCCGTTCGTTGATCAACACACACAAAAAACCGTAATACGTGTTTTAGTCTTTCAGCCTGCGTGGGCTTTCCGGTACAATCTCATCTAGCAAAAGCATTTGTATCAGCAAACGCTGAACCAGTGTTGGCCTTCCGCGTCTCATCAGCAGACTCAGCCTTGTTAAACACATACGATTCGGTTACCAGAGCACTCCACCTTTATTCCTCAATAAAATGTTTGGTGGGCTTTACCTGGTAAAATAAAACATTATTTCCTTTTATTTGTATATGTTACGTGATTAGTTTACCTTTCCTATACTTTGCACTCCTATCGTGTATTTGTATTGTTTGTTGTTGTAACGTTCTGACCCGCCCCTATTGGAAATCTGTGAAAAAGAGCTTTATAGCTCATCGGATTCCTCCAGAATAAATACATATTCTTATTGTGTTGGCAGCGGTACACAAGCACAATTAACAACAAAAAACAACTCAACTCTACACATTCGTCAATGACACTTTGGCCTTTTGAGTAACAATATATGATAGGCGACTTTTTGGGAAATGCCCCTCTTTCATAGAAAAATAGAGTGGCCACTGATTTCGATTGGATTGGAGTTGGAAACTGCGTTTAACATCATGGGGCCTGATACGAATTACATTTAAACAACATTTCCTGATGAACCTTCACTATGGGGCCATATTCAGCGCTAAGAGCAGTGTTTTAGAATTGGTTTTAATGCATTATACGTTTGGAGTACACGTACAGAATTCGACCAAGTGGCTCAGCGGTAGATTGAGCGGCCATAGGAATGTGGATACTTCCACTCCTGGCTCAGTGGTAGAGCGAGTGGCCATGGGAATGTGGATACCTCCACCTCTGGCTCACCGCTGAAAACAGGAGATGAACACCAATGCCGCAATGCCTCATTTGAGAAGAAGATCGCTTTGGCAAGCAGGGAACGGATTAGACCGGGCTGTGGTTGGTCTCACACGAGAACGATTGTAGGTTGAGAGTACGTTACGTAAACCTCCCTGCGCGCCACACATTTACATTAAGTGCCGTAATGGTGCATCCATGAATATCAATTATTAAGCTCACGACATAGTAATTGAATCACGTGAGTAGAGGAATCGTTGTGTCGATTCGCATGTGTTTTTAATGGGTCGTCGATGTCGCAATGATTAGCACACGGCGCTCGGCTACGAACCTGGCCACCTGTTTTCGATTCCCGGTCGATTCCCGGTCGCGGTGTCTGAACCGGTCCTGAGCTCTCCCAGCGCCCATATTTCATCCACTCGCACTAACCGGCGTGGTGAAGAGTGGCCAAACAACCCCCACGACAGACACGGGGTGGGGAGACCTTCAGCCAGCAGTGGATTAACAAAGGGCGGGCAATGAGTATTATTTTTGCGTGCATTGTATGTAATGCGTTGGATGACTCCATGTGCCCTCTCGTGACCTATATATATCAACATGCAATTATAAAAATACGCAATTCTCAAATCGAATCATGATTTTTTTTTTAAATCGCGACAATTCATAGCATTTCCGCAGATTGAATCGCCATATCTCTAACGTACTATATCTATCTTAATCAGCTTCAGCCTCCCGTAAATCACGTGACTTCTGTGTGGCCACCCCCACTCTGAACCCCTCCCCTCTCCCCGCCGCCCCCTGTGAAAACAGACTCTATTCCGTGCAGCAATGTCGAGGGAGGCCCTGATGATGCAGCTTTTTCCTCCCTCTCCTAATATATGCTGAAACCTTTGCTCCCGTTCTGCGTTCCTTTTCCTTTAATTTTTATCTTATTTCTCATTACTTCTCTTCCCGTTCCTTTTCCGTATCCCCATTCATTCCAACCTTGACTCTACTCCCCTTCCCCTGGTGTAGCCACGGGCACAACGTTGCTAGTACAGTGAAATTGCTCAGGTCAAGAGGTCATCAAGGCCAATATCTCTGATGCCTTGTGATATTCCCCATTAACCTGCTGGGATAGAGAGGTGTCCAGGAGATGGCAATAGATATAACAAGTGGGATCGTGAACCCTTCTGTGCGGACCTCTTATAATAAGGTTGTTTTCCCCTCCTATGGGTATGGTGGGTGTCCTACAGTTTCTCAGATTTCTTTCCACACAAATAGGTTTGTTATTTTATAAAAATTGAATCGGGTGAACAATCCAAACGAAGTGCCGGTGGTGCAGTGGGCAGCGCGTTGCGCTGTGCTATGAACCCGGCCACGTGAGTTTGATTCCTTGGCCATGGCTCTTAACATCGGTGACTAGAGCGATACAGTATCTGCATCGCGTTTGACCTTCCACCCCCCGGCCACCCGCTCTCCCCTTCACCAACGTGCACTGACCAGCGTGGTGAAGTATGGTCAAACCCCCATGAGCTACGCGGCGTTGGGAAACCGTTCGTCCAACGGGCGCTGCACATTACATACCGTTCATTACAATCAAATGTAGCAGGACCATCCAGAAACAAATAAAACCATAATACTCAGTGTGATATATAGATGGCGTAATAATGTTTTATTAATGACAAAGAGCCCCCTGCACCACGCAGGTTCGCCTTTGTCTACCCGGTGCTGACATTTACACATTGCACCAGGTACTCATATCAAGGCTGTGAGTGTGTGGAATAAATAATTCGTTATTAATTACACACACACACCCAGCAAGTAATCGTCTGCGTCTTTAGCAACGTCCGCCGCTGGTACCACGAGGTCGCTCACGCCTGGAGACGCAGCAGCAGCCGCAATAATCACAGCGTGAATGCGACTGGAGAGCGACGGCGGCTGGAGGGAGAGATGAAGCGACCCGCTTTCGTTAGCTCTCCCTCTCTCTTTTTAGCGCTCGCTCTTTCTCTCCCCCAATTGTCTCTCTCTCTCCCTCCCCCTTTCTCTCGCTCGCTGACCAATAGCGGCTTGTAGCTGCCCATCAGCCAATTAGGCCTCTGCCCACCCCCACCCGCCACTCGTGTAGCGAGAGAGAGAGGGCGAGTGAGAGAGAGAGTGTGAGAGAGCGAGTTGCGTTAAACGGCCGCCGATCTCAATCGCGTTCACATCAAGCCGGAGCTCGCATTCCGCACCAGCCCTGCAGCCTTAACTCCACAGCGCCTCCGGCCCGCGTGAAGCGGCGGTCTCTCCGCGACCCCGACACATACACATCCATCCACACGCACACACACGCACACATCGACTCTCTCGCACACACACGGACACACGTACGTCGTAGCCCTCCCACAAGTCAAAAACTACGCGTGCACCAACACCACCGACACAGCCGACGTCGCACACAAGTTACTTGACGCCGCGCGAGCAGCAATGGCCCTACCGGACAATGCCAACAAGCTGACCAACGGGGAGGCGACCTCATTCGCCGAGGTCATCGAGCTGAACGTGGGCGGCCAGGTGTACCTGACCCGCTGCGCAACCCTGGTCAGCGCGCCCGACTCGCTGCTCGGTCGCATCTTCTGCGGCAAGCCGGGCGGCGGTGGCGCCTCTCTGGGCGAGAGTCTCTCGCGGGACGGCAAGGGCCGCTACTTTATCGACCGCGACGGCTTCCTCTTTCGCTACATCCTCGACTACTTGCGCGACAACCGGCTCGTCCTACCCGAGCACTTCCCCGAGCGGAGCCGCCTCCAGCGCGAGGCGGAATTCTTCGGGCTCCCCGAGTTGGCACGCTCGCTGGCCCCGCGTCGCATTAGCACGCAGAACTCCATCACGGACGCGGACGCGTGCGCCAGCGACTGCGACGAGAGTTCGCCGTCCAGCGAGACGACGATTCGCGGAGGCGGCGTCTGCGGCGGCGGCGGCGGTGGTGGTGGCGGTGGTGTCATTGGGACGACCACGTCCCAAAGCTCCGGGCTGCAGTGTGGAGTCGCTGTCGGCGGTGGCGTTGGCATCAGCTACGAGCGTCGGCCCGGCTTCATCACGGTGGGGTACCGCGGCTCCTACACGGTGGCGCGCGACAGCCAGGCGGCGGACGCCAAGTTTCGACGCGTGGCGCGCATCATGGTGTGCGGGAAGACGGCGCTGGCCAAAGAAGTGTTCGGCGAGACGCTGAACGAGAGCAGAGACCCCGACCGCCCGCCCGAGCGCTACACGTCGCGCTACTACCTGAAGTTCACATTCCTGGAGCAGGCCTTCGATCGCCTGGCAGAGGCCGGGTTCCACATGGTCGCATGCAACTCTAACGGGTCCGCGGCCTACGCCGGCGACCTGAGCGAAGACAGAATTTGGACCAACTACACCGAATATGTCTTCTTCCGTGAGTGATGATGATGATGATCCTGATGATGATGCTGCGTAGGCACGTGGACTCTGCTTACTAAACTATAGACTCTCCCCCCCCCACCTCCACAACCCACACCCACAACCCCTTCCCACTACAACCGCCGCCAATCCTCACTTCTCCTCCTCCTGTAAAATGACCCACGACCGCGCACCGCTAATGACCCGAGTTGAACTCCGAGCGCGGATGCGTGGCACCCCGATACTTCGTTGTGTGTCCGGTCGGCCGCGCCTACGTCTCTTCCCCCGTCTTGTGAAGAACTTTTATCGTGTGGACCCGAACTGATCCCCTTTGCCCGATCCAACCAGATCCGATCCGATCCTCCTTTGTACTGCCTCGGTTCCTTGACTGCTGCTGGTGCTCCTGCTGATGATCATGCTGATGACGATGCCTAGATGCTTCTGACCACGTGCGTTCATGCGCCAGCGCTCGCCTTTATTATTGACCCCTGTGCAAGTGTCTCATCCTCCCTGTTTCCCACCCACCCCCTTCTTGCATACCCCCCCCCCCCCTCCACGTCTTGAACTTCTGTTGCCTTATCGGCTGCGGCAGCGGCGTCAGGCGACATTCATTACGGCATATGCGAGCACTCTTATCGATTACAACTAAACATCGTGCTGTTTGTTGCTGGTCGCTTTTGGGGCGTGTGTTCAGCAGCCGTGGGAAATTGAAAGTCAGCCCTGTGGCATGGCCCTGTTTTAAAAAGTGGTGGTGGGGGGCATACAAATCACGGGTAATTGGGGGGGGGGGGGTGGAGGAGGAGGAGGCGACGGCCAATGTTAGACAAACTTTAAAACAAATTCTAAAACGCCAAACATTATTGGTTACGACGCGACCCCCCAGTGAACATTCCAACGTTGGGCCAACGTTGGGGCAACGTTAGCACGCGGTGGCTATGCACGCGCCCCTTCAATCCAGCGCTGTGGAGGCAGCAGCGAGAGTTGAAAACTCCCTTCCCCGTGGCCGTCGAGGAGGAGGGATGGAGGTGCCCCTAACCCCCCATCCTGGCTCGCCCAGGAGAGGGCCATGCAGCCAGTGGAGTTTTCGCCGTCCGCTGTGCGTCTGCTACGGGGAAGATGAAGGTTGTTGCTGACCCCTCGCGCGCGTGGGGAGTTCTCCGGGTGCTCCGATTCACTCCCGCGAATCTAAAGACTCGTCGTTTAATTGGCTGAAAAGATCTTAACATATAACAACAACAACCTCCAACATAGCGGCAGGACCCTCCTGAAAAGCAGCCCTGCGACTCAGTGTGGCTATTATGGATAAATAAGTAAACTCTAGTACTGTTATCACGTGGTTGGAACCTGTGGCCCAACGTTGGGCCAACGTCTGATATTTACCAAGCTCGTCATGCATTCCGCTCGTGCTCTCACCTCCCCGTGTACTCGACGGGGATGGCGACGGCTTCGGGAAGCCTTCGTGCAGCGGTGTATAGATCATAGCCGCTGGCGCTGATGGCGATGTGACGCCAAACGGAGCGAATATGAAGGGTATACGATGGGACCATGCCATGCCCTGTCGCGCATTCTGCCGTCGCTTTCACCTGCCGCTGCCGTCGTGTGTGTGTGTCGCGTGTGTGTGTATGTCGTGTGTGTATGTCGTGTGTGTGTCACGTGTGTGTGTGTCGCGTGTGTGTGTGTGTATGTCGTGTGTGTGTCGCGTGTGTGTATGTCGTGTGTGTATGTCGTGTGTGTGTGTCGCGTGTGCGTATGTCGTGTGTGTGTGTTACGTGTGTGTGTCGCGTGTGTGTGTTACGTGTGTGTGTCACGTGTGTGTGTGTGTGTGTCGCGTCTGTGTGTGTGTGTCACGCGTGTGTCTATGTCGTGTGTGTGTGTCACGTGTGTGTGTGTGTCACGTGTGTGTGTGTGTCGCGCGTGTGTGTGTGTCGCGTGTGTGTGTGCCGCGAAGGCTGTGACGGCTAGCCGCTTGTCGCCATCGTCACTCGCGTTCAATATCGGACCAACGTTTTGAATATAAATGTTTAGAAGAGGGAAGCGGTGGTGGTGGTGGTGGTGAAGGTTGGTGGCGGTGGTGGTGGTGGTGGGTTGTGATGGTGGTAGGTGGTGGTGGTGGGTGGGTGGTGGTAGGTGGTGGTGGTGGGTGGTGGTAGGTGGTGGTGGGTGGTGATGGTGGTGGGTGGTGATGGTGGTAGGTGGTGGGTAGTGGTGGTAGTGGGTGGTGGTAGGTGGGGAAGGCTCAGACCCCCTGCCGCCACACCGCCCCCTCCCCGAGGCGACAGCACGGCACACCTTGACGCTGCCACGACTTCACAAACGAAGGAAACATCCCCACAGACAGATGCCACGTGACAGACATCTCGTTGACCTATACGCACATGCCATACACACTGTCGTCGCGTGGATCTAGCATGGGCCCTGGTGCAGGGAATAAATTCCCCAGCCCCATACCGCCCTTCCCCACCATCATCTTCATAACCTGGCAACTTGGCCTCTCCTTCCCCCCTCGATCCCAGGGGCTCCTGCGCAGTTGCACCGCCTGCACGACCTATGGCTCAGGCAAGCGGAGTGCCGAGGTTGCGTGTCCCGAGTTCCGAAGCGATACACGGAAACAATTCGCAACGGCGTTGCTGTTGCGTGATAATAGATCGATGGTGACGTCACTGTTAAAAAGAGGACATTTGTAAAAAAAAGAGCTTTATAGCTCCTCAGATTCCTCCAGTATGAATAAAGATTCTGAATACCTCTCATGCAACTAGTTATTTGGCGATGCTGCCGCTGCTGCTGCGTTAACAGTGGTGCACAAGCACAAACAAAACACTCCCAACACATTCGTCAGTAATAATACTGTTTGCCTTAAAATTAAAACTATATATTGATATATAACAGTAAGACGTTTCGGGCAATGGCCCTTTTTCAAAGCACACAAATGACGAATGTGTTGGAGTTTTGTTGATCGAAGTGACGTCACAATGTCGGACAGCACGTGACGAGCACAGCAACCATGCTTCTTTGATCGATCGATTAAAAGTCGATGCTTAAGGCTCACGAGAGGCACCAGTGAGTGAGTCACGTGCAACAAGAGTGCCGTTCGCATTCGTACTTCGTCGTATGCACGCATTGGTTCACGTGACCCCCCCCCCTCGCCAGAAACCGAGGTGAACAGATGGAATCGAGAGCAAGAATTGTAAAAAAATATCTAAATAGGAAACAAATTATTGTTGGCGATGCTGCTGCGTTGGCAGTGGTGTACAGGCAGAAACAACAACAACTGAACACATTTTACAGTCATAACATTGTAGGTTTGAATATAAAACATAACAGGCGACGTTTTAGGACAATTGCCCTTCATCCCAAAAAGGGTAACTGCCCGAAACGTCGCCTATTATACACTGAAATTAACGTCGCTCAAAGCGTCCGTTTTCTTTACAGGGCCACGCGTTGTGTTGATATTGACGGAACGCGTTAAGTTGTTCTTGTTGCTTGTGCACGACTGCCGACGCACGAGTAGCTGCACCAGCAGCACCACCACCACCACAGTGATTGAATCCACGAATAGACGACACCGTGTCTCGCTCTCCCGTCTCGGTCGCGAAGTCTGCTTTGCTCAACGAGGCCGCTCCCGAGTTTGGCAGCTCACAACGGCGGAGAGAGATTTACGCTATTGATCGTCGCACGCACGGCTTGATGCGTGCCGCGTCAACTCCGAAACTTTCGATATTAGTTTTGGCGAATCGCTGCGTCGCGACACCCTTACAACGCGCGTCTTCAACGGCAACGTGTGACAGGAATCCCAGGATGCCTCGAACGTCGGGATGACACATCGCCACATGTGGAGCAGATGCCGAAACAAAGCCTTGCGAGATCACCAACTCAGCACATGCATGCGTCAATAACACTGTGTGTGTGGCATTAAAAGGGATATAATATATATAAAACAGGCGACGTCTCGGGCAATGACCCATATGAAGAAGAGCCATTGCCTGTAACGTAGCCTATTATATATTTATTTTTTAAGACCATGCAGCGTAGTTGTTGGCGAATGTGTTTAAGTTGTACAATGAGTTATGTTTGTTCATCACTGCAAAACAGCAGCAGCCACAGCAGACAGCTTGCGAGATGACAGATATAAGAACCGATTTTATTTCTTCCATTTGTAAGTTGCATATTCCCTTAAAATTATTTACGTGGCGTGGTTAGCCTGACGTGGTGTCAATGTGTGACGGAGGAAAATAACGAATAACCAATTCGTGACCAATATTATCCATAATAAAGGATGTTTGCGTTAGATCGCGTGCATATATTAGTGCGTTGTTAAACCCGCCACCACCCGCCTGATGATGCTAGTTTTAATCACCAGCAAAACGTTGTACTCGAATTGTAAATGTTGTGCGTTTACTCCCCAACACATCGGTGTGCTGAAGTAGTAAATTATTTGGCACGTTGTGTTTACGTGATAAATCTTACGAATTGGCTGTGTCGGGTAGTGGCGGATTTAATAGGACATTTTTATTTAAGCACTGTAACCCCAAAAAAACCCCTTTATTATGGAAGATAACCATTATCAACAACAAACAAATAACGGACAACCACCAATACACAGATCATAAAACGCTGGGATTCCAGTACAACCTCTGAGAAACAGCTCGGCTTTATACGGATCAATATGTAATTCGTTAAACATGAACTATTGTGCCGTCTTATTCCGTACGTGGAATCGTTTCTCTGTACCTGTCCAGAGCTGGCGTTGTGTACCGCGATTTTGCGTGGGGTGGTTTCTTTTTTTCACTTACAGCTGCGGCCTGGTGATAACTGTTTTCGCGATGATGATGATGATACATTGGCATTGGTACACAAACACAGAAAACATCAGCAACAACAGCACAAACTCAAGGCGTCGGTCAAATATTAAAACAATATCCATAATATAGGGGGCGGGGGGGTAGGGGGTTAGGTTAGATCACGTAAACATAAATGTGTCTTGACTTAAAGCTCTCGTAGATAGAAAAATAATATTTTTTTCCTGAGGACGATTGCTTGTGTTGCGATCGAAACGTCGTGATTTTTTTTCTATCTACGTGACTTTACCGAAAGACCACAAGAGTATAAATGTGTCGTTAAACCCCACCACCACCCGACACAGCCAATTACATTCATCCCTCTATTTAAGACCGAAACATGAGGATTTTGCCACCACTCTGGCTGCCGCCTGATGAGGCTGGCTGTAATCACTTGCGAAACGTCGTACTCGAACGGCACATGTTGTGGGTTTAACTCTCCAACATACAACCGGTGTGCTGTACTAGTATAACGAATCGACATGTTTTGTGTACGTGACAAACCTTACTAATTGGCCGGGTCAGGTGGTGGCGGGTTTAACGACACATTTATACTTACGCGATCTAACCCAACCACCCCCCCCCCCCCTCTATTATGGATAACATTGGTCGCGAAAGCCTACTACGTGTTAAACAGATGTACAATTGGTGACGTTTCAGGCAATTGTCCCAAAACGTCGCCAATTGTATTTATATATACACTGTATGCGTGCGTGTGTATATATATACAGTACATATCTAAGGCAGTGCTGCTGACGACTGCGTTGAGCTTCATAACAACATATGTAACGGCCGACGTTTCAGACGATGGCCCTTATTTATGTTTTCCGTTGAAAGCTACACAACTCGGTGTTGATGACGAACGTGCTGGTTTTTCTGATCATGTGACTCGCTAGAAACACGTCACGTGTATATTATTTCACAGTAGCTCCTGATTATAAATGTGAACATTTAACAAAACAATATATGCATACAGTATAGCGATACTGCGTTTGGCAGTGTTGCAAAAGCACAAACAACAACACAAAAATCGACACATTTGTCAATAACACTACTCTGAAAAGTAATATATAGTAATTATGATAATATATGTGAGCCGATGCTTTGGGGCAATGTCCCTTCTTCTTCAGAGCACATAACTGCCTGTGATTGGATGGAATGTGTCTCCGCGTGTCTTTATTTCCTCCAATAATTTAAATTATAAAGGGCGTGGAGATGTTTATTCTTGTTCTCCTCTTGGGATAATATCTTATCCGTCCAATAGAATTTCCCATAACTTTTCCTATAATAAATGGCACTTTATGTACATTAAAACAACAATTATTATTCATTGTTAACCGGGTCAGTCAATGTAATTTACTGCACATCTCCCGTTTACAGCCCTTAGCCAGAGGAGTGAATTCCACATTCCTATGGCGGGTGAGGGGGGCGAGTCTATCCATAGCACAACCGTTGTTGACTTCCCAACGAAGTAGTATGAATTGGATCGACCCCGCGTCAAAGCAAACACATGGACTCTATTACAAACGAGTTCGATTCCAGAGGTCTGTTCATAAGTCGATTTGTTCGTAAGTCCAACTTTACTCTCGTCGATTCCAAACGTGTTTTACGGCATGTACACGAAACACGGGGAATGGCTTTACAAGTTGTATAATCTCCTGTAGATGTAGATGCCACTGGTTCTTCATGTTCTGCAGATGTAGATGCCACCACCGCCATCCATTGCGCGGCGGTTAAACTTACGACTCTTGGTCCGAACAGGCAACTGGACATACGAACAGGTTTGTTCGTATTTCTGAAAGTTTGTAAGTCGAAATCTCTTAATTAGAGGAGTCCCTGTACACGCAGAACTCTGTTCCGTGTCTCAACGTGAGAA